CTCTCCGCCCTCTCTCGGGCACGCAGCCGCCCCGGTCACGCTGGCGCGTCGCCCCCCGAGGTCCCTCAGGAGGACCTCCCTCAGGGCTTCGTCCCTCCTCGTGGTGTCCTTTCCCCTGAGGAGCGCGCGACCATTCTGGGCCGACGTGGGTGTTTGCGTTGCCGCTTGGACAGTCATACCTCCTCGCGGTGCCCTTACACTACCGCCCTCGACCGCCACTACGCTGATCTTTCTCGTCAGCGTCGTGCTCAGTCCCCCCCCGGCGCCTCACGTCCCCGCGGCGCCTCCTAGCCACGGTGCAGTGTACACCTGCGCCCTCCTCAGTAGTGGGCTTCCCGACATCTCCGTCGCAGTTCACCCCTCTCGCTACTGGAGTTGAGGTATCGCAGGACTCGACAGAGTGTACTCAGCCCTTTGTCGCAGTACCGTCTGCGCCTCCGCAGACCACCGTCTCCCCTCCTTCCTCGCTGCAACTACCGACGCGTCGAGCCATTCGCTCAGCCCGTTGCAGCGAGCAGCTTGGTACTCGCGAGGACGTTGTGTCCTCTCTTCTGGACTTGAGCATGCTCGAGGCTCGTCAGGAGCGACTCACCCTCAATGTCGCTGCACTGCTTCGCCTTCTCGCCATCCTCTTTGACCCTGATCGCACCCTCGCGATCATCCCAGTACGACTTGGAACCTCCACGAGGGTGTACTCAGCGCTGTGGGATTCCGGTTCTCAGGGCGACTTCATTCACCCACGCGTGGTGAAGGAAGCCCACTTACCCACGACAGGGTCTCCGACTCCCATCTCCGTTACCCTAGGGGATGACAAGACCCAGCGCTTCTTCGATCAGACGGTCACCGACCTCTTCTTCTTCCTCACTCTCGAGCCGACTGATCGTTCCCCGGCGTCTCGTCGCCACCGCTCCTCTGCACATTTCGATGTGATGGAGACGGGGTACGACTTCATTCTCGGCACTCCGTGGTCTCGTCGGTTCCACAACACCGAGGCCGATCGGGCGACCAACACTCTCGTTCTCAAAACGAAGTGTGGCCAGACGTATCGCGTACCTTTCATAGGTACCACGGCGATACCACGCCCCGATCCTCCTCCCCTGGAGCCGTCAATGCCCACACCATCCCCCTCTATCACTGTCACCTCGCCTCGGCAGTTCGCTCACTTCATTCGACAGGACGACGTCACCTTCTTTATGGTGGACGTGACGGATCTCTTACACTATCATCCACCATGTCCCGACGCCAAGCTCATCCCTCTGAAGCCAGATTCTCCCTCTATCTCCATGGCTCCCATCTCTACTTCCGTCCCTCTGCCGTCCGTCGAGTCCACCCCGCCGTCGGGCGCTGACGCTGACGCTGAGGAACTCGCACGATATACGGATGACCTGGAGCCCACAGTCTATGACCTCATCCGAGAGTACCACGACGTTTTCCCATCGTCGTTCTCGTACGCTGGCATCCCACCGATGCGTGACGTCGAGCACTCCATTCAGCTTGTGCCTGACTATCGTGTTCACCACCAGGCACCCTACAGACTCTCGATTCCCGAGGCCACCGAACTCAAGCTTCAGCTTGAGGAGCTCCTGAGACTGGGTTTCATTAAACCCAGCGACTCCCCGTAGGGTGCACCCATCCTCTTTGCTCGCAAAGCGGATGGAACTCTCCGTCTCTGCATCGACTATCGTGGTCTCAACCGCTACACGGTTAAGAACAGCTACCCCATGCCTCGTTCCGATGAGCTGTTCGACCGCCTAGCAGGCAACCGCTTCTTTACGAAGATTGATCTTCGTAGCGGTTACCATCAGATCCGCGTCGCTGCAGCCGACCAGCCGAAGACAACGTTCCGATCGCGCTTCGGCCACTACGAGTTTACGGTGATGCCATTCGGCCTCACCAATGCACCCGC